GAGGATTTCAGTTTATTCTTCTAAGTAGGCTGCTGCTTTCATAGGGCAACAGTGTTTCAAGGTCCGTAGTAGCTAGAAATTATGGTTTGGGAAAATGTGTTAGTGTTGTCTTAAGTTAGTTATGATTTCCAACATTTGCTATTCCTGCCTTATAAATTATGCATAGTTTATCTTCATCACATCAAGTGTGTGTGTTTCAATGTGTAGTGGAAATGTACTTTTATTAGTTGTATTTGGGGTCTATGATATTTTAATAAACAAAAATATAAGACATGGATCATAGCTCAGATATGAGTCACTGTGCCTTTATTTGCCAAAACAGCCATGTAAATATCCCTCTAGATTTGCTTATTCACTGATATCTATTGTTCTTTTTTCTCCTGAAAAGTGAAAAAGAACTGAATCAAGTGAATTTTGAGGTCTTTTGTCTGACTTAAGTGGTTTGTTATTAAAAACAAGTTTGAGAAGAAATCATTGAATTTAATTCTCTTACATAACAAAGAAGGAAACTGAGGGTCACAGGTACTACATCACTTGAGCAAGCCTACCAGTAGTTAGAGCTTAGTCTTTTTCTCTCAGAACAGGCAATGGAAGTTGCTTCAGAACATAAGTAAATTCAATTTAGCTCTTCTCTTTCACTGAGTTGTTCAGAATGTTTTTCAGACTTAATGCAGTTTATTTTTAATTCAGGTGCAAACTGGAACATACAGTGCTGGATGAAAGGGGACTTGAATCTATTCATCTGTTACATGGAGCCATTATTAAAGAATTCTTTCAAGAATTATGACCTTAAGGTCCATCTTTTTTATTTTCTGTAAGTAACAAATAATTAATTTGGCCATTTCTGCAGAGTTTTTTTTTTTCCTGAAATGCAAGAGTTTCTGTCTACAAAAGTATATTATGAAACCTCTCCCGTCCCTACATTTCCTTTAATAGCAAACCATTTATAGAGGGTTCTTTGCATATATGTTTCTTTTTATGTACAACACTCTTCTCCATTAGATTTCCTTTTTGCTCCTCCTGTTGATTAAGGTAGCAAGATATTGCAGATATGAATAGGCATATAGTCTGAAAGAAAAGTGAACTCAGTTCAGGGACCCTAGATATTTAAGTGGAAAAGGGAAAAACTTATTTTGTATTTCTTCCTCAGGTAAATTTTTTCTATATGTGATATTTTTGGTTAATTTAAAAATACAAATACTTGATATTTATTTGTGTTAGGCAGAGAACCAAAAAAGTGGTTTGAAATAGCCATATATTTATAATTCTATCAGGTAATATATTCAAGTTTTCTTATATGCTCCAATAATAATATGAACTCTTAATTTTAACTCTAATTTTTTTCTCATTCATTCTTTTATTTGGTACTTAAAGAGAAACTTGACTCCTTTAGTACTATAGTTACTGAGACATAACATGGGGTGATATGCTAAAACCTATCCATATGAAGACAAATGGAGACACAAAGTAGAGTTCTGGTTATCAGGTGCCTGGAGGAGGGTATATCCCGTAGGGAGTCATTGCTTGATGGATTCTGAGTTTTAGTTTGAGAAGATGAAAAAAGTTCTGGAGTCATATGGTGGTGAAAGTTGCAAAACAGCATGAATGTATTGATGTTGCTGAATTTGACACTAAAAGTAGTTACAGTGGCAAATTTTGTGTTATATATATTTTACCGCAATAAAATGTTTTTGAAAAGAAAATTAAAAATATAAAGATGAATAGTTATGACTCTGCCCTTGAGGTGGTTGTAGGCTAGTGCTTGGGACAGACATGTATAAAGTTTCAGTTTCAGTGGTTACTTAGACGTACTTGGTGGGTACATGCTGCTTTGGCAGCCCTTGACTCTTGAGAGGGCATTCAGTCCAACTGGTAAGAAAAGAGAGGAGGGAGGGAAGATTGCTTAAGGAAGGATATGGCTGAGTTGAATTTTTAAACTGTAAATAAGAACTAACAGGAACATGTGTGGGCAGTGTAGTATTTTGCAGAGATCAGCATCATGTGAATACTTTCTGAAAATTTAAGGTAGCTCCACCCCAGAACTAAATCCACATTCTGGAGATGGGCCTCACTAATCCTTATTTTACCAAGCGCTTTAGATGATTCTTTAGAACTCAACTTTGAGAGTCCCTGGTATAGAAGTTGATATGACATATTACCTGGTCATATCACTTAGTAATGTACACACATAGCACTTACTATGCTGAGCAGTAGTTCTACCTATAGAAATTAACTCAATGGAAATATTTATATAAATGCTTAAAATTATTTGTTGAATGAATAAAAAAAGCTTCTATTTTTCTTTCTAATTTACCCTACAGAAATGTTTTAGTTAGCCAAAAATTATTAATAAAGTAATAATTTCAAGAGAAGTTGAGTGACCAATGCTCAAATATAGCAGAAAGATATAATAAGGTCAGACTTATATCAATGGACTTGACAATGCAGAAGTAATGGATACTGTAATAGAGGTTTTGTTTTGTTGTGTTTAGGTACCAGGGATTGAACTCAGGGGCACTCGGTTACTGAGCCATATCCCCAGCCGTAT